GAGCACACACTCTCACCAGCTCAGCGGCAGCTCAGCTTCGGGCACGGCTCACTGGCCCATGTGGGGATCGAACTGGCGACTCTGTTGCTCAGAGCTCGCACTCTTAACCAACTGAGCCACTCGGCCAGCTTTATCATAGTTTTTGAATTTTGAAACGTATGACTGTTGCCTATTAAAAAAAAATAGATAACATTTATAAAATGCAAGACCAGATTAACATGCAGCCTGAGGCTCTATGAGCCAGGAGGAGGATGGCTGCAGACAATAACAGCAGTGGCGTTCCGAATGCTCTTGGAAAAAAGACAGGGCAAAGGGAGAGGAAGGGGCACAGGAGCACCAGCTAACTGCGGTCCCTGGAAAAGGGTGGTGAGCAATGAAAGACAGACGTGCGTGCACCTCAACACGACAGGAATTCTCTGGGCATGTCACTGGCTGACTGGACTTAAGAGAAAATGACTTAAAGTGGTCTGGTGTCAAGTTCAAGTTTGCTTCGGTTGGGATGTGGGTTGTCAATGGACTAGAAGTAAAGAAAGGGAAGGAGGAGGGGATCAGACCCTGAACTATTCATTCGGAGTGTCTGTACTATAAAGGAATTTGCAGCTCAGAGAATTCTTGGGGTGGGATGTAGCTGTATAGCTGTATCTTATTTACTCCTCACAACCCTTGGGGGTGAGGTGTATTATTATCCCCAACTTAGAGATAAGGAAATGGAGGCTCAGAGAGGTTAAGTAATTTTCCAAAGTAAAACCGAAGGTATTTCAGAGCACTGGGGTTTGCATCCCAGTTTAACATCAAAGCCCCATGCCTTTTTCACTCTGATGCACTCATCTCCACCCTCCTTCTGGTCTGGGCAAATCCTGGTTAGACCTCAACAGAGGGTAAAAGAGGAGTGGGGTGCTCATGGCTCCCTGAAGAGATGAAGACTTAGGCTAGTGTGAGGAAAGAGAAGTCGGGGTGACAAGGAGGGCACTGGGTTGCTGGTGCTGGCTGTCCAGCCTTCCACCCCCTACTAGCCAGGCCTCGGGGCGTCTGCGGGTGTTGAAGACCAGAGACTGATGTGGGGGAGAAGGGCAGGGAACCAGCGGGAGGACAGCTGAGAGAAACAGAGGGAGGGACAGCAGAGAGAAGCGGCTATAAAGTAAAAAGCTTATACCTGCACATGCTTATCTGAGGGCAGAGACTGTTGGCTATGCACTTATTCCAACTATGCTATTATTACTCAAAAAGCGTTTCCAGGAGACTGACCTCTTTGGAACGTGCCTTCAGTTGCCTGCAGTGTGTTCTTTCCTTCCTTCCTTAACTCATTCATTCACGCTGGCAGTGCATCAACACAGACCGAGTATCCGACACTGCCAGGGGTGAATAGTCTATCGAAGGTGAGACATAAATGGAACCTAATAATTTTTATTTGGGGCAGGTTCCATTTGGGGAGATAGACAAATGGCATTCACAACCAAGTCTGACGCTGTCCCCTTGGGTGGGGCGGGGCCCTGAGCTCACTTCCCAGACGGCCCTTATCCACCTTACCCCAGTGGGAAATGTTCATTTGGGGTCAGCCCGGGTGTCATTCAAACACTGGCCCTGCAGACCCCGTACCAGGAAGAGCTGCAGATTTGCCTGGCCCGGCGGCAGCAGAACTTAAAGATGGAGGACATGGGGTCACTCTTGTGGATAGGGAAGCTCTGGGACCGTCTGTGTCTCACTGTCCTGGTGTTCTGTGTGCAGGAGTGGGTAAGACCCAGCCCAGAATAGAAAAAAAGTCTGATTTTTATAAAAACTCAGAAGGAGATGGGAGCTATTAACTGAAAGGTCTCAGTGAACATATTTTTGTAGATTAGCATCACACAGAAAGGAGAGAAGGGAGAGAGGAAAAAAGTGAGACAGAAGATAGGAATACAAAGGGGGCAGATGAAGAGCAGAAAGGCTTTGGAAAGTGATGCCAGAAGGGCCTTGAGGGAGGCCTGGGGCTCACCCCTGGAGCTGGGCCCACCCTTGGCTCAGGCTGGGAGGTCACAGCTCTCCCCACTGCTGCCGCAGCAGGAATACAGCTGCTCAACAAGCCACTGCCAGCCTTAGACATTAATGCAGCAATGAAAACACGAGGGGAAACTGAAGTATCCACCAATGAAATGACTTGATATCTGGGATTTGCTTCCAAAGAACTCATGAGTTGATGTGTGTTGACACTAGGTGATGGGTACATGGGAGTTCTTTCTGCAACGATCTGTACTTTTTATTAAGTTTGAGATAAAAGGTTTATAATAATAAGTCTTTTCAAAATAGGGGAGCTATGGAGGAATTACGCACTGCAGGTAGAATAATAGCAGAGGAATATAAGCTATAGAACAGAAGCAGAAATTAATGAGAATTGTGTCTTGGGTTTTCTTAAATAACACTGCAAACCAAGGGTTCTTAACCAGGGGGTGACGGATGAGCGGCAGGGTCCCCAGTCTCTCTGTAATCATGTGCAAAGTGACCTGACAGTTTTCAGCAAGTTTTCAAAGAACCTGTGACTTTCCCCCGAAGGTTAATAAATTGTCTTCTCTCTTGAATGTACGGTGCCTACATTAGTTACTTGGTGTGTGGCTTTTAAATAGAGGGTTTATTTTCTAGAACTGACATATTCATATCGTGGCCCTGTGTTTCCCTCCCTCCTCTCGGTCAAACTTGCCTAGAACAGCGCACAACTGGCTGACCTGCTTCACATACAGCCCCGAGGTGGTGGTGGTGGTGGTGGGGGGGGGTGGTAGTGCCAGAGGAAAGGGTACACAGTGGGGAGGTGGAGACAAAGAAACAAGCTGTCTGGGGGAGGCCTGTGAGGCTCCTTAGGGTCTGAGAGAGTGACAGGAGGAAGAGTTATTGAGGTTTGCCATCATCTGGCAGGTTCCATGGCTTTTGGTTGCAAATGTCCAACAGAAACCACTTTTTTTGAATAGTCTGAGGTTTAAAACCCAAAAAATTCATTAGAAAACACCTTTCCATTCCTCATACGATAGCATAACACCCTGTCTGGCCTCCTGCCTTTTGCAGGGAACTCCATCAAGAAGTCCAGGGCCTCACAGGTTCCCGAGCACGGGCAGAGCAGGCTGTCACCTGGGCTTGCAGCCTGAGGGGCAGGGCAGATGGAGATGAGTTTAGAGGACAGTGAGGCTCTCACCCGGGAACCATTGCTACATTTAAGTCAAGGCGTGAAGTCCTGCCCCATTTCCTGATGCGTGAAGGCCTTTACTCGCCAGCTAACGTTCCACAAACTAGTGTGAGAAACATGAACTTGGCCCCTGGCCCTGGGAAGAAAGACGAGAATGAACACAGGGTCCAGGTATTGCTCTGTAACTGGGGTTGAGCTGCTCTCCACCACTCCCCTTCAAAGACAGGTGAGGGCTGAAGCCATCTCCCACTCCCACAGGAGAGGTGCACAGACAGACAGACACAAAGACTTTTGTCTCTCTGACCAGGCATCTGAAATCATGCGGCTTCCTCACTCCTTCTGTGGAGGGAAACGGAAACCCTAGGTGGGAGTCTGCCGATCCCTAGACCAGTCTGCAGGGCTGCAGGCTGGGGATCAAAGGTGTGGGATTGAGATAACAGTGAGAAAAAGGTCTGTCCCAGGAGGGCCTGATGCAGGCTTGTGGCTGGTATGCATCCGTCTGGGCTTTCACCTCTGACGCTGCCCCCTCATCTCCAGCTCCTCTCCCCCAAGTCATGTCCCTCCTCTTTCAGAACCCCTCATTCTGTAACACCTTCCTTCTCAAACCTCCTCTGGCATTCAGGGCTGGGGCATAGCTCTCTGTGTGCCATGATGGGGAGATGGGCAGCATTCCAGGAACCTCCTCCCTGTACACCCGCCTCCTATCAGAGCCCTGACTCTGAGGGCACCATCCACGAATCCTGTTTCCTCCATCCATGCAAACTGTCAACACAGGGGAAGCTGCAGGACCAACAGCTAAATGCTTGGTGGCAAGTTTTGGGCCGTGTCCTTCTCATTCTTCCTTTATTGTGGTCCCTGCCTCCACAGCCTCCTTTCCCAGTTCTTTACAGCACTTTGCCCCCACCCCAACTCAGGTCCGGTGGCCTCGGTTTCCTCCTATCAGGGAGGAAAGGGGGGTTTTCTGTTGTGTTTGGGCAGTGACCACTCATGCCCAGGAAGCAATGGAGACTTTCAGAGATACATACCAGTTGAGAGAGATTGTTCTAAGTGTGGAACGGGACCTCGCTGTATTGCTCCCCTCACCTCCCAGAAAGCGCTCCACACTGCTTTAAGCTCTGGACGAGGGCCACAGATGGACTCCATGGAGAGAAGGACCAAAGCTACCTCCATGGCCAACCTTGGGAGCACAGACACGGCTGGCCAGGTTCTGAGAAGCACAGACCACTGAAAAAGTCTTTTTTTAAACTGTGCTTTATTTAGGGCTAAGCTGGAGAAAGCGTCATCCAATAGTTACAGGTTACAAGGAGTTTTAGGGAGTTGAGTGTGAAAAGAGCAGTTGTACTGAACTGCAGCTGTTCTTTTTTTTTTTTTTTTTTACAGCATCTGGACATCCTAAAAGGAGGAGCCAAGAGGATGAAAAAGAAAAATTAAAAAATAAGAAACCAACAAAATAGAAAGAAAGGAAAGGCAGGAGGCCTGAGAGGAACCAGAGTTGTTCTTCTAAAACAAAAAAAGGAAAAAAATGGGAGGTCCGAGAGCCTCCTGGCCTCCAGATGAACTAGACATCAATGGAGTCAAGGCAGAATGCCAAAGCAAGTCTTCCCAACGGTGCAAATAAATTATAATAAATATGTTATACTTTAAAATATATGTGTTCTTAAATAATTCAGTGTTTTTTCTGATTCTGAGTTTTTTTAAGCAATGTCTTTTTTAACTGCTCTAAAGTCATTTACCAAAGATAAATATCGTGCTTTCATTAAATAGTTTTCCTTGTTTTTTTTTCTCTATCATTACAATTAAAAGTCCTACAAAATATGCAAATTTATTTACAGAAAAACAGAGCCGGCATCATTTAAACATCCCTGTTTTTCAAAATTCCTTGTAAACAGTTTCAGAAATTCTTCAAAGATTGTTTATTTTTCTCTCTCTTGTTTAAGGTTTTTGTGTGTGTGTGTGTTGTTGAGTTGTTTTAAGATGAAAGTTCCCAGGTCTCCCTTGCCCGGAAAGTCTCTGGAGCAAGCACGGAAGGCGAGTGAAGCGGAAGGTGTCAGGGCTTGCGGAGAGCGGAGAGCGGGCGAGCGCGCAGCTCCCGGGAGCGAAGCGAGGCGAGGGCGGCTACGGCGGGCCTTCTTGCTGATGGCGCGGCCTCCACCGGCAGTGGGCAGCCAGGAGCCCGCAGGTCAGGGCAAGTCCGGCCTGGCCCTCGGGGTCAACGGCGTCGTCCGACAGCACTCGCGGGGAGAAGGGGTTGATGCTCAGTCTAAACTCTACAAAAGTACAGTCCTACAACATCTGGGATTTTAGCAGTATCGCTAACTTCTATAGGTTTTTTTTTTCCTTTTTTATTATTATTTTTTTTTATTTTTTGCTTTCCTCTAATTTTTCTTCTATTATATAGGTATTTTAAACTTCTCCTTTTTAAAATTCTGTACAACTATTATGATTTTTAAGAGGGGGGGAAGAGTTAGAAGCATTTACAGACTTTTCACAACAAATACCTTGCCTTGTCAGTCCTTTTTTTCCCCCTCCTTGTTTTCTCACACTTCACAGTTAATGAGTTTTAATATTTTTGTTGCTTTCCCCAAATATCCACCATCTTAACAGCTCCATCCAGACATATAATACAGAAAACCATAGGAAAGTGTCATAGACTTGAATGAGGGTAATCAAAGCGCCTCTCAAAGTATCAAAGAACTATTACCTTGCTGTTTTAAAAGCATTGAAGCATAATTTTTCCTTTTTTTGTGTTTTTGGTTTTTTTGTGTTTTTTTTTTAATTTTTTTACTACTTTTTTCATAGAATCGCTCTAAGCTGTTTCAAGAACAGCCAGGAGGCAGGAAGGAGGCTCTCTCCTCCGTTCCCCCTGTATTTGACATAGAGCTACACATCTGCAATAAAAAGTTTGGTCCTTTGGTCCCTAAATAGCTAAAGGAATGACAGATAGAGATGCTCAGTGGCGGCCTCCCAGCCGCCCCCTGGGGACCAGGTCCCACCGCACCGCTCGCCCCAGCCTGCCTCAGGCGCCCACGGGCTGGAAAAGCCCCGGGGATCGGTAAGCAGCGTCTCTTCCCAGTTCCCAGCCCTTCGGCCTCCCCATCTGGTCTCAAGTTATTTTGTTTTAAAAGTTGCCTTTTTTTGTTTTGTTTTGTTTTCCTCAGTTTTCTTCATCTTCTTCTTCTTTATGTCACATACATATTTCCCCCAAACACGTGCCCTCTGAACTCCATAGACGCTATACTTTCCTTGAAGAAATGTTACAGTCACAGAGAGTGTCTGGAGTCCTCAGCTTGATTGATATTGGCTGATATGTCAAAGGTGTCATCCAACAGTTCTCATTTATAAATAGAGAGAGAGAGAGGTTTGTTTTTTTAATGTAGCCCGTTCAGCATCCTGCCCTAAAATGAAGAAAATCAGGGCTGATTAAGCCAAGAGAGGAAACACAAAATGCATCCAAACACCAAAAGGAACCTGCCTGGGGGGGGTTAGGGTGGGAGCTCTGGGGGATGGCGGGAGGGAGGGGCGAGACCAGTATGAGAATTAGTCATGATCATGATAGATAAAGAAGAAATCGACTCTTCTATTTGAGGTACGAAACCACTGGGAGATCTAGTGGTGATGGTTGTAGCTGAGGTCTAGTTGTTGGGAGAGGGGTCTCGATTTGGGCTCCTTTTCGAGTTCTGGATTAGGGGATGGCTCGGTCTGAGGGAAGAATTTGGGACTGTGGGATATGAATTCATAATTAAACTGATCTCGGAGGGAGCTAGCCCAGATACAATATGTATACAGAAGCCTAGCAAACGAGACAGCCAAAATCTAGCGGCCCGGCCCAGTCCTCCCCCGCTTGAGGAAAAGAAGGAAGAACGATCCGTGACAGTAATTTTGCTGAATCCTTGCCCAGTCCCCAGCCAACGGCTTCTTTCCCAAGGTCAGTAACTATTTGCGAGGCTGTGTATATATATGTATATCTGGATATATGTGTAGAATATATTCACCTGCACATATGTGGCTATACATGGATATGTGTGTATGTATATGCATAGATACACACATACACACACACACGCACACATAGTAGTTTTCTCATACATGCCAGGGAATTTAGAGGAAATTCAGAGCTTCTCAAGGGAGTGGATGGGAGAACCTAAAAGAAGTTAAAACGGATCTAATCATCAAACAAATTAACTCAGACGGTTCTCGATTTTGTTTTGAATGGTGGATTTTTGGTGTTTTCTTTCACTTTTAAGAAAAAAATCATGATCTGACTAGAATCAAGAGGAGAATGCTTAATCATTGTGAATTAACAAATGAGACTCATCTCCATTCTAGCAAGCAGCTTCCACTTATACATGGGGGTGACTGGTTACATCAAGAAAGTTAGAACTGCAAAGCCCCCAGTTGAGGGGACAACGTCATGCGTATATCAATCCATGCTGGCAGGTTTTTCACACTGTTGATTCAACAAACAGCAAACCGTACACAGCAGTCTAAACAATTACAACACCAAATAAAATAATAATAAAATTAAAAAACACTTGTCAAGGACCCTTTTTCAGTTGTAAACAAAAAGGTGCATTTTGCTTTTGTCAGTACTGTTTTTTTCCAAACCCACCAAAAAACCCTCCCCAAACCCCAGTCCCCCACCTTCCCTCCCCACATTTAATTTAGCAGAAGTGGCTACAATACAAACCTTACAATTGTTACCAGGCGCTCTCTCTCAGAGGCCTCTGGCTTTGTACTCTAGTTTTTTGGTTTAAAATTTTTTTCTTTTTTTTTTTTTTTTATCATTCTGTTACTGTAGAGATTTCGTTTTTATTTTGTTTTTCCTTTTGAAGTGAGATTTAAAATGGCCTAACTGGAAAAAGACCAGACCTAGGAAAGTGTCAATTGAAAAAGGCCCCCAAATTTCTAGAAAAAAATAAAATCACAATATTTTCAAGTGCAAGTAAATCAACCACGCATAGATATTTTTAAGATGTTTTCCTTATTTTTAAGAAAAAAAAAAAATAATGGTTTGCACAGTTAAATGATCCCATGTTCCATAATTCAGGAATTCATCTTTACTTTTACTACTTTTTTTTTGTGCTTTTGTTTTGTTTTTTTTTCTCTATGTGACATCTAAAGAAGCATAAAAAACGCTGAACAAGAAAAACCAAACAACAGAAAGTAAAACCACTGCAAGCACCAAGAACGAAACAAAAATGAGCACAGCAAAAAAGATCGTGGCAGCACAAAAGTCAAGAGAATGCACGTGTGATCATGACTGGCCAATCATCAACTGATACAACATCCAAGAAAAACGCTCCAATCACAGCACCTCCACGAAACTTGACGGCAATTGTCATGCAACCGATTCTTAGCCTTGTTACATGACGCCATCATGTCACACTGTGAACTTTGAGTTGATTTGAACTTACGGATGGGGGACTGTTTTCTCCACTCTCATGTGATTACGTGAACTTTATTCCTAGCTCAGCGCGAGACTGTGGTGGATTTGACTGGCTCTGGTTGGGTTGTTGGAATTTGATTGAATGACAAAAGAAGAAAAGATTTATATATATATATTTATATATGTAGAGAGAGAGAGAGAGAGAGAGAGAGAGAAAGAGAGGACAAGAGTGTGGGTAAGGGGGAAGGCAGAGGTGGGGCAGGGCGGGTGGGGTTGGGGAGTGTGGGAGGGCAGGGAGAGTTGGGTGGAGGGTGAAGAAGGACAAGGAAGAAGTTAAAACAAAATTAAAAGAAAAAATATTTATACAGCACCAGACCACAGCATCAATCTAAAAGCTCTGATGAGAGAACAGCAGTCAAATCATAAGAGAACTGAAAAGAACTGAAAGGATGGAGGAAGCTGGCGGACAAAAGACATGGGCACATCAACACGCACATACACACACAGTTGTTTATGCAGACACGTGATACACTGTGAACAGTAGCAGAACCTCACACAGGGCCACTAAGGCCATCCATCATGCGTTGGGGAAAGGGCGGGGTGCATGGGCGGTTTGGCGAGGGGGCCAGAAAAAAATAAAACAGCCCCTCAAACCACCTTGGCCGGCAAGCAGATCAGGGAGCACGGTCTCTGCTTTATATCACCCTTGATTCTTTCTCTCTCCCCCAGGTGCAGAGCTCTCCTCACCTCCCCAGCCTTCTGTGGCTTCAGCCTGTGGACCAGCAGGGGGAGCCTGTCAGGGTGGCCCTGATTTGCCAGGTAGGTCAGAGGCTGGCTAAGGTGACGGTCGTAGCCAGGGGGTCCATCCATGAGATACTCTGCTGTCATAGTACAGTCCACGCTGGCAGCCACTCAGCCCTCCCACCCTTCGGGTCCCACCTTGGCCACCATCCCCAGAGAAGGGTGTCTCCACAGCATAAACACCCACTGGATGACGGTATGACCCTCTCCCCTTCCGCTCTGCCTCAATCCTCTTCCCTCAGAACCTTCAGAAAATGAACACGTTTCATTTTCAGATTTAGAGTGAGTCACATCAACGTCCTTGGCCATCTATAAACACGCCTTGGCGCTACTGATTTCATGATCACCTGACACCCTTTGCTTTGCTCCCAAGGTGGCCCATGTGGTGGAAGTGGGGCTGCTTCTGGGAACACGGCGCCTTTAGAAGGCTCTGCAGCTATGCACCATGATAAGGCCATATGGAAGACTGCAGGGCGCCCTGCAGGGTAAGGAGTACACACAGGACAGACCACCAGAGAGGGCCCCTGGATCTCCAGCCTCTGCCGCTGTCACGTTTGCACTGCTGAGCTCCTTACCCCTCCTCCTCTGTCCCTTTCTACCCCACAGCAGCCCATGTACAGCTTTCTAGACTGACCCGTCTCACAGGCCCTGTTCTGCCTTCTTTCCTGACAGAGCCCGAAGTGGCTGAGGCGGGGTTGCCCTCTCTGGGAAGCATCGTCACGTTATTCGCTTTGAGTTGTCTGCCGCACTTTTCACCATTTCATGGTCGTTTGCCCTCGGCCAGGGATCTGGGAGAGGGGATGTTCCCAGCCCTCTCCCCTGCAGTACTCAGGCCCGTGCCAAAGCCTGTGCACCAAGTTTATCTGCAGGGTTTCCAATCCATCAGGCTTCTACTCACCACGCTCTTCGTTTTCCTTCCAGGAGAGTGGAAAGGAAGCCTGGGATCTTGAAATGTCACTGTGTGTAAGCTACAAAGTAGCTGAGAGGTGGCTATGTTAAGCCGAAACCTGGCCTCCAGCTCTGCCTTCACCGAAGAGCCGCCAGCCCCTCCTGCTCCACAGATCCCTGCCCTGCCTGGAGGTCCAAGCTAGGCTCTTGCTCTTCCAACAGCAGCTCTCCCTCACTAGACCAGGGCCCATCTGTGTGCCCACCAAGTCCTGACATGCCGCCCTCCCCTGAATGCCAACCCCTCCTGGAAGAAAGCCCTGAGACCCACCCAGGAGATCCAATTGGCAGGTCCCTTTGATGGGAGAAGAGGCCTAAGACACCCATCAGGTGTCAGCTATGGCAAGTGCAACTAAGGGACCGTCTGGGGACCCCTTCCCCCCCCAGTCCTGAGCACCTCACAGGCACCCACTTGTCCCTACTCTGCTGTGTTCCTCTGCCCACCCCCAGCTACCCTCCAGCTGCCCTTCACGCCTGGCACTGTCCTGGGTGCTGGAGATTCAAGCTGGAATATCACGCAAGCCCTCCTCAAAGCTCAAGCCAGGAAACTTTCTCATACAGACTCTCATCTCTTACACATGCTTGGCCTCCAGCACACAAACACACTCTTATACTCATTCAACCCCTCGAGAGCCTCCCCGGGTTTCTGCATGTGCACAGCTGATTACTCTCTTCATTAGGGAACAGCTTGCTGGGGGACCCCTTCCCAGCCACCCTCCTGAAGAGCCTCACAGAGCACAGCCCTTTGGTGGCAGCGGGGTCACCGACCAGCATGGGGACATCTGAATTAGGCCTGGGAAGCTCCAACTCATGACCTGGGTGAGGAAATGACGGTCAGACTGAAGCAGTTCCGATGCCAGGTCCTAATCCCAGCAGGGCTCTGGCCAGGGAAGGCCCAGGCCCAAAGCCACAGCCCAGCCCATGCAGGTCAAAGCACCTGTGCCCACAAAGCTCAGAGCAGACACTGTGCAAAAGCACACTCAGAGCCAAAGCCCAGGGCCAGGAAGGGACAGGACTCCCACCGGAGTCCAACATAATGCTCAGTGTGTCATCCACCCAGAACCGCCCCCAGCTTGGAACCCAGCACCTACTAGTGCTGTTCGTAGTGGGACAAGGGGCTTGGGTGTTCTGGGCACTGGCTGTAGGCCTGGCCATGTGTTTTTGCCAACTCTTCCTGTCTGTTTCCTTCCTCTTAGTTTCCTGATAGACGTTTCTTGGAGAAACTCCCATTTGGGCATAAGATAACAAGCCTAAGCACCAGAGGGGCGGGGGCGGCAGGAAAGCCAGGAACCCGGGAAAGAAGGAGAGCTGCACTCTCAGAAGACCCAGTCCCACCCACCCAGGCCTCACTTTATGGAGCCAAAGCCCAACCATGCTCCTCACAGCTGCCCACAGCTGCCCTGCTAGGGCCCCTCTCCTGCCCCAGGCCGGTCCCACTCTCATTCTGACGTGGGCTTGGCCACCAGGCCTGCTGTACCTTCTGCCTTCACCACTGCGGTGACCAGCCTGACCCTGAGATCCCCGTCCTTGTCACCTCGTTGCTCCTAGGGATGGCTCATCCCTCAGTCCCTGCTCAGGCTAGCCCTGCCCTTCTGAGCACCTAGGACTTATCGTTTGTAAACACCATTTATTAGCCTGTAAAACTGTGCAACTTTTTAGCTGCTTCTGCATGCTGTTTCTTCCCTCGTTAGCAATGTGACAGTGGTCATGTCCCACTGCAATCCCCAAGCCTGCCCCTTAGCACCCTCCTTCTGTTACAGCCTCTTAAGAGTCTTGTGGTGGGAAGCCTGAAAGCACCATGTTAAAACGCTGTCAACATGGAGATTAAAGGTCAACATTATTGTAGAGTTATGGCACGTCATAGGTTATTTTAGAAGACTGCTTAATAGGGAGGAGGCAGTCAGATGGCTGATACCTGAGAAGTGAGATGTCATGACATGTCCCCTCTGATATACAGGACACTCTGGGGTGGGAGGGTTGGGGTGATGACAGCAGTGGGGGTTTATCATTCTCCTTACTTGAAGGGGTTAAGAGCACAGCTTCTGGAACTAGGCCCCTGGCTTCAAATCATGGCTCTACCACTCGGTAGCTGGTGGGCAAGTGACTTGATATCTCTGTGCTCCATTTATAAAATGGGACTAATAACACTACGTACCTTATAGGCAGCTACAGCTATATACTTATATCTTATAGTTATTACCTATAAGAGCTGCACCTCATGAGTGATAACCACTGTGTGAAAATGTGTGGTTCTCATCTCTCTGGCCTTTGGATTCTCTGGTGGAACAACCCACTCTGCTGTCTAAACCACTCATCTCAAGCCCCCCACCCCAAGTACGACTGTCAGCTGGTTCTACCTGGAAGGCCACTTGTTACCGTATGTCCCCAACAATAAATCTGTTTTCCTCATCCCTTCACCTGGGAATTTCTCTGACCTCAAGGTTCTATCCTTGCTTGGGTTTTAGTTGCATTGAGGTCTAGGAGGCTAGGACAAAATGCTTGCTGGGGAGCCACAAAACACCCACAGGGCCCTCTCATAATCTCAGGACACGACCCTGGAGCACACTCTCTCCTTAAAAATCTTGCCTTCCTTAGTGAATAAAATGAGGCCCAAGTGGGGAAGCACCTTGACCCAGGTCATGCCGTAAGGTCAGAGCGAAGCTTATTTAAGAGAAAGTGTTCTTTCACTGAACCGTCCCTCTCCTGCGGACATGCACCCATCTGCTGGCTGCCTCCTCGAGTCTGCACAAAGAGCCAGAAGCTCCCTGCACGCAAGATGGTGACTCATTCATTTGTATCCCCAGCTCCAAGCCCACAGGAAGGTGCCCACACTCTGAATAAACATGAGTATCTGTATCTTGACCCAAGCCAGAGATGGGCAGGAGTGGGAACTCATGAGGCAAGAGAGAGACGGTCTGCTTTTCTCACCTTGCAGGGAGTAGAGGCTCAGTACCCTCTGAGCGAAGGTAAGTGCGGCTGCTGCTGGATGGGGGCTATCCTGAGGGCAGCAGTGGGGTTTGAAGGTAGACAGGGAAACTTGAGACCTCCCTCCCAAGCTCCAGTCTCTGAGCCTCCACTGAGATGTCTGACTTTCACATGCCTGATCTTTCTCCGAACCCCCCTTCATCTCTGGGCATGACAACTCTGCTCTTCCAGCTACTCGGGCCAAAAGCCGGGTGTCATCCTTGACTCCTTTCTCTCACACCCACCTCTAATTCATTACAAACAGCCTCCTTGGCTCTGCCTTCCAAATACATCTAGAACTCAAGTCCCTCACACCACATTGATCACTGTTACCTGAACTGAGTGGTCCCTGTGCCCTACACCTCTGTTTTGGGTCCTGCCATCTATTCACACAGCGGTGATCTTACTGAAATGCAGGGTAGTCACACCACTCTGTACTCCGAGCCCTCCAATGGCTCCCTACCCCCAGCCCCATTTCAGAGGAGAGGCCAAAGTCCACACAATGGCCTGTGGGATCTCCATAAGATGGCCTTCCTCATGGGGGAGGGCGGGGTGTCTCCTCTCTCACTTTGCCCCCATGCTTAGTCTCCTCCAGCCACCTTGGCCCCCTGCCGTTCCTGGAATACACCACTCTGCCCTCACCTTTTAGCCTTGACACTGGCTGTTCCCTCAGAGGGAAGACACACTCCTCCAGATGTTGGCATGGCTCCCGGCCTCACCTTCTTTAAGTCTTTGCTGGAAAGTCTCTTTCTCAACAAGGCCTACCCTGACTACCTGATTTAACTGTAACCAACAATTCTGACACACTATATAATTTACTCTTTGATCTTATGTCATTGTTCATTGTCTCTCTCCCCTGCTAAGGACAAGGGTTATCAGTCTTACTTATGGCTGAGTACCAAGTACCTGACAGTACCTGGGCACAGTACTGCTGAATGAATGCAGGGAGAGGGCTGGGCAGCCCGTCGCTGGCCTGACAGTGAGTTGACACTGCAGGAGCTCAGAGCAATGGGGAAATCAGGCTGCAGGTGGGTTTTTGATGGCTGGGCACATCTTTCCTCTCCCCACTTTCCCGGGAAGCCACTTTACCCAGGGGAACACAGGGCCCGGATGAGAAGTGGCCAACTTTGTCTCCAGCTGCAAGGCAGGACCCAGACTGAACAGGGAAATGTGACAACTACCCACGCATCACGGCTTCTGTAAAGCAGGCAGGGTAAGTGGCCCCAGCGCTATAACATAACCATCCTCAGCTTCTGTCCCATCCAGCTTTGTTTTTGGTCAAGTTCCCTTTAAAAAGTCCTGTCCCTCCTCTCCAGACTGAGCTATGGGGGGAATGGGAGGGGTGAGAGGGTCATGTGTCTAATGGCCACCCGCGCTCCAGACAGGAGAACTGCGGAGACGAGAGCCGGGGACTCTGGGAGATGGCTACAGCTCCCCGCAGAGCCTCCTCTGCTGCCCCACTCTCAGCCCTGAGCTTGCCATCTGTTCAGCCCCACAGGGTTTTCTGGAAAACAGGAATGCCCGTGTAGACCTGGGGGCGCAGGCCCAGGGCTCGCCCCACCTTCTCAGAACGGTTCCCTCACTCCTGCCCCTTTTGGATCTGCAGCAGGGGGATGGCCGTGCCCATTTCTGCCGCAGCTCTGTGCCTGCTCCCAGGGCACCGGGCGAGGAGCAGGTCGAGCCGGCGCAGCGGGTCCAAGGCACAAGCCACAAGGATCCAGCCCACGGAGGCTTGGGAGGCGGCGGGTCCGTCCGGTGTCCCCTCCCCAACCCCCCGTCCCCGCGCCCCGGCAGCCCGCGGTTACCTGTGCGAGTCCTGGTCTCCCCCGGGGGACGCTCCCGCCGGCGCTCAGTATGGGCGATTGGCGTCTTTGGGCCGCTTCAGCTGCACTTTGAGCCTCTTCATGCCGATCTGAAAGCCGTTCATGGCCTGGATGGCGGTCTGCGCGCTGGCCGGGTTGTCGAAGCTCACGAAGCCTGGCGAGACACGAGGGACGAGGGCCTGGGTTTCCACTGGGCCGCCCGGGAGGGGAGGGGTGAGTCGGGAGAAGGTCGGGAGCCGGGGACGAGGGCGGGGCCGGGGCCGGCGGACGACGGCCCCTCCCTGCGCTCCCGCCGCGCCTCCGGGCAGGGGCGGGGCTCGAGGCTCCTCCCCCTGGGGCCCCGCCCCCGGCCGGCCTCACGCCCCCCTCGAGCCCTGGTGCGCGTGGCCTCTCCTGGAGCGGGAGCTTCCGAGGCTCCAGGCCTCCCCGACTTCACCTCGTCTTCCGGCGGCGCCCTCTCCCCGGGGCAGGAAGCCCGCGGCGCAGTGGGGCTCGGACCGGCGCCCGCCCCCCACCCCGGCCGGCCCCGACACCTCGGCCCTCTCCTGCGGTGGGAGAGGGCGGACACACCTGCGGGTGGAGGAGTTTATTGGACACTGTCCTCCCTGACAGGAGGGGGCCTGGCAGCGGGAGGGCACAGGGTGCCGGCCTGGGGAGAGAGAGGAGTGCGAGGGAGAGGGAGGGGAGGCACCACGGAGAAAACTTCACCACCGTTCGGGGCCACCCCCCTCGCAAGGCCGCAGGCGAGGGCAGAGGCTCACAGTCCTCGCGGCGCCCCCTCCGGGTCCTGGCCAAGGCTGTCCCCAGCCGGGCTCCTGGTGGGTACTGGAGTTCAATCCAGACGGACTCACGTGAACCCACCACTCCTACCCAGGGACTGTTGGCATCTTCCTTTTACTTAGTGAAATTCCAAGCCCTGGGAGCAGGTGCTCTTGCCCTGGACTAAGCAAGCACCAATCAATGTGTCCCCATGTGCCCCTCATAACCACAGTAATAGTATTATAACAATAATAGTACAAATGAACTATTAATACAAATCAGTTGAGAGCCTTCATGTACCACAGACTCTGGAAGTGCCTTTCACCCCTTCACTGCCCCCAGCATCCCAGGACAAGATATAGAACCATCCATGGCTCCCAGTCACCCTCTGCAACATGCAGTTCCCAGATGGGGATGGATCAGGTTCACAAAGTTCATTTAGAAGTCACCTTGGTGTGCATTACCTTATAGAGACTACACGCTACGTCAGCATGTCCCAGAGTGGCCCCATAGGTGCTCCTTGACAAAAGGGGCTTCTGTTGTCAAGTAGGTTTTTAGCCAGGCCCCTCTGGGACAGTTTAAGTCACATTAACAAATAAAAACATCCCCTTCAGACCTCAACTTCTCCCATAAATAAACCTGCATATCTTTGCTTAACCTAGTATTTCCTGGAATTTATTTGACGTAGAGGCCTTTACTCCTGTAAATTATGCCTTTTATTTATTCATTTTTCCTGTAAAATCTCTCTTAGTTTCAAAATATTTGAACTAAGATTGGCAAAGTTCCCAGGCCATCCTACAAACCTGCCTCATTGGGGGTGCTTGTCCCCCAAAGGCCATTAGATAGCTAACGGATAGATGGACAGACCCACGGAAGTAGAAGCTGTCTTCTTGGTTAATTGCCCCTGGTACCTCCAGTTTGCCTGCGGCCCCTTCCTCACTCTCCCCCTATGGTGGCGCTTTCTCCCTTTTTGCCCTGTCCCCATCTGGCCTCTTTTCTCTTTCTCTTGTGTCCTTCCTGCATTTGCTCACATTTGCTCTTGCAGCCATGCAAACATCAAAAGACGGGAGGCGGGGGTGTGTGTTTGCGCATGTGAGTGTACTCAAGAGCGCCAACAAGGATAAGGTCCCCAAAGCTCAGATGGAACTAACTGGTCAGAGGCGGACCCAAAGCAACATAACCAACATCTGTATAAATCTATATTCCAGAAAAGATAGGAGAGATTTAGGATTATCCATAGTGGCAGATGAGTGGGAATAATCCCCCCAATTCCTCTTCTCATCCCTTCCTGGCCCATCCCTTCCCCACCAAACTATGTGTCTGATGATGACTAGTCAAGTTGTTAGCCGAGCAGAGCAGTTTTCAAATGTGTGAATTGTGTATCTGTTACACTGCTCTCCCCCAAACTAAGGAGGGTGGTTGAACTAAAGCCTCTCTCCCTACCGGAACAAAATGGCCTAACTGTGGATGATGGTTACATACATTCGTCCCTCTTCTGCTGGCTCACCAGCACCACCAGCTCCAACTCGACATCGCTACCTGCACATGGTGGCTGTTTTTGCAAGGGAGGAGACAGGAGAAAGATAAAAGGGGCTGGAGGTGCTGTGGTGTAAAGGAAGGGACAGCCACCAAATGGGAAGACGGGGAAGAGGGGTCCTGGAGGAGGGAAGCCCGGCGGCCTTCATGGAAGAGTCTATAGTCTCCAGAGGCCCAGGGGTTAGGAAGGATTCCAGGCTTGAGATCACTTTTCTTCCTCAACTAGCTTTGTTAACTAACAGTACAGGGAGCTTGTTCCTCACTGACAGGGCTCTGGGCACCATCCCCCATGGTTACAGCGTCCAGGACTTCCTCCTCCCAGAGCCCCTCCCCCATTCCTCCTACCATGACCATGAGAAGCCTCGCAGGTAGGGGGCCCTCCTGGTGCCCCTGCCCCAACCCCTCTTTCAACTTGGCAACCATTTGTGCTGCACATACGCTCACAAGCCTCTGGAAGATTCGGTTTATGCTTATAAAGAGTGAGTGGGGCCTTTCAGGGGTTCACTTTAACAGAGGACCACGTTTACAACAAAAATGGCCCCTCCTTTTGTGAGTATAGGGGAATCTAGCAGTTCCTGAGGGTCCACTCTGGCCAAGCCCCTCACACACACCATCTCATGTAACCTCACAGTCTTTCTGAGGGCTGACTGTTAACATTCCCATTTCACTAATGAGGATGCCGAGCCTCAGAAGAGTTAAATGACTTGCCCATGAGTGGGTGCTGGAGTTCTCACAGGATAGGACTCGGGGAAAGTTTCAGAAGGATCAGCTGTGAACCAGAACCCAAGAAGCTTAAGGAGGAACCGCTGAGCCGAGCAAGCATGCAGGAGGCTGTCCTCCAGGTGGATTAAAGTTTAGCGCTAGAAGTTTGTTCAGAAGAAAGAGTCAGGGTAGAGGTTTGGTGTTTTTTTTTTTTGCCAAGAAAAAGCAGGGAAAAAAACTTTGGTCCGGAGAAATTAAATGGGCTAATGACAAGGGTAGTGATTGGGCAAACTCTGAGGAAATGCCTTTGAAAAACTGGGTTGCTCTCACATCAGGGACAGCCAGGAAAAGCACAAATGTAGCAGGGATATGACCAAAGACCAAGCCTGCTCTAGCCCCGGGGCCCAGCACTTTGTGGGCTCTTAGCAGTTTTCTTTATGGAATCTCTGAGGCTTCCTTAAAGAACAAATGCCAAGATCCCCAGTTTGTGGTTTTTACATGCATCATGATCATTCGTCAGAAGAAATACTGGTCAAACTATAGAGGGGTACACCCTGTCTTTTTCTTTGGCTTCATTTTCCCAATATCCAAAGAGAAATGAGCTGCTGAGGCCACTCTGTGCCGCTGACGTACCACAAATTTCCAGGGGCAGGGGCAGCGGTGCAAAGGTTTTGGTTGCTTGGGTGAAGATGCTCTAAAACCTCAAGCCCTTTAGGTTCTGGAAAGTTGGTCTCCACACTGGAATTTCTTAACATGCTCTTTCTGATGCTTCCAGACTCTTCTCCCCTCTATTACCCCCAAGCTGTGACCTGGGTTCCCTGCTGTCCTCACAGCCCCAGAATCTGGGGGTCAATCTGGGGATACTGAGCTCCTGGCAGACTCAGCTCTGGTTGCCTGTGTGGCTCTCTAGGGACCAAACGCCTCAATTCTTGGCGATTCCTGAGAAGCTCTGGCCCCAGGAGGAAGGGCTGATGGAGTAAGAACAGGAGGTGGGAGAGGGACTAAGGAGCAATGGAGGGGAGAGGTGTGGGAATGAGGTGGGATTCCAGGTCTGAAGCAAATCAAAACCCAAGACACCCAGTTAAACTGGGAATTTCAGATGAACAAGACATTCTTTTTTCGCATAAGTGTATCCCAAATATTGCAAGGGCGATGCTGAATGTAATATTCAGAACATAATGCTTATACTAAAAACGCATCCATTGTTTACCTGAAATTCCAATTTAATGGGCATCCTATATATTTTATCTGACAACCATACTCCTAGACCCTCCCAAGTCCTCTCCCATCTAACATCCTGCCGCCAGGCAAATTTCCTTCATTCTGTTATCTCAGCTGGAACCCTCTCACCACCTTCCACTGCCTATCACACCACGGGAAACATCCTCATTTGAATGGCCAACACCCGCCCCAGCACAGACCCTCCCTCACAGCTGGTCTCCCCGGAACCCTGCTTTCTCCCTAAAGCCTCCAGCTTCCTCGCTCGCTGTCCTTAAACTCTTCTCATCCCAGCCCCATGCCCTTGTCCATTCTATTTTCCCAGCCTGGAATGCCCTCCCCCTCCCCGACCCCCTTCCTTTATTTTACATCCACCTGCCTTTCTCATGACTGTATTACTTGGTGCCTTGCAGATTTCACTGCTGTTAAGTAGGTGTGATTTTCGTCTAAGCTCAGACCTGAGGCTTCCTGAGGGCAGGGGCCATTTTCCTCTTCCTGACTCCTCAACAATGTGGCTCTGGTGGCCTGAGAGGAATGGGTGGGAGAAGGAGAGTTCATTGGATGGCAGGCGGGGAGCAAACAGCAGGGTAGACAGAGATGGGGGCTGGGGGCAGGACAGAGGGGTGGACTGAGGAAGCCAAGATGCAGGCAGGGTAGGGGCCTCGGCTGGGCAGAACCCCCACCCCGAGGATGACGCTCAGTTTTCACCCCAGGGCCGCTCGGCTTGCGAGAGAAGAGAGGCTGCCGGGAGAAGGGGTGTGGCTAGGCTCTCTCGCTGGCCCCGCCCACCCCCGCCCAAGGCGGCTCCTCCCTCCTCCCGCGGCTGGGAGGGGAACCTAGCTCCTGGACCGGGAAGTGGGAAATGGGGAGATGGGGAGCCAGGCAGGGGGTGGGCAGGGAAAGCCAAGAAGCCAGAAGAACAGCAGAAGAGAGAAGAGGGATGAGACACGGTGGCTGGAGGCTGGGCCATAGGGAGCGCCTGTGGGGAGGCGATGTGAAGGAGCAGGATGAAAGCTGTTGGACACCGGTAAATTGGTGCGAGCACCGCCCTGTCCTAGATGAAGCTAGTTGGTTTGTTATCTTTACCCACCAAAGCATTTACTTTGGTTAGTCGCCCGATCCACAAACACTTTCGAGGAGATGACATTACCGAAAGGGAGGAACATCTGCATCAGCTCAGCGTCCCCAAACTCCTGGGGCAGATGGTAGATGAACAGGTTACAGCCCTCGGGCCCTGCGGTGAGGGGAGGGGGTGGGGCAGGGAGGAGGGATGGCAGGGTGGGGGAAAAGAGAGACAGAGGAGAGGTGAGCGAGTTAGGCAGCGGCAGCAGGGAGGGGTGGGGGCAAGGTTAGGAGGGGGGGTCTCATCCAAGATCAAAGAAGAGCGGGGGCTGCTGAACTCCCAGTCTGAGCTCTGGTCTCTGCTCTGCCCTTGGGTAAGTCACTGAACCTCTCTGTGCCTCAGTCGCCTTTTCTGCAAAACGGATCTGTAACAGGGTGCCTGCCTGGCAACTCTGGGACTCCAGGGGCGGAGGTGATAGGTGAATGGGGTGAATGCAAGGCCTGATTAGCAGTGGAAATCAGGTGCTGAGAAGAGGCAGAGGTTGGGAGACCTGAGAGGACCTGCTCACCTCCCTCCTGCCCAGCCCCTGCTCAGGGGAGGACAGAGAAAGTCAACCTGGGGCAGCCATGCCATTGGTGTGGCTGCAGGGGGAGGGGGGGGGGAGAAGCTTCACTTCACCTCCTGCACCCATGGGGTGGCAGCTCTGCCCATCCCCCCCCCAGCCAGCAGCCACTCCTTCCCATTTGGTTCCCAACAGCCGGCAGCACCTTCCCCTGCCCCAAACCTCAAACTCAGCCCTGGTCTGAGGGCAGAAATCAAGAGGGGCTTCACAGCAAGGCTCTGTGATTACCCACAAGCCTCATTACATGAAAGGCTCTCCATTTCATTACAACAATAACAGCCCTGCCACTTCTATAGCTTGTCACCCCCACTTCACAGCTGAGGAAACTGAGGCCCAGAGAGGTTAAGTCACCTGCCAAGTCACACAGCCCATAGGAGGTGAAGCCAGAATATGGACCCAGGCTGCCTGCCTCCATAGTCTGTGCTTTCCTCTCTGTCTACCTATCTCTCATCCATCTCAATTCCCCAGAAACTATGAACATAGTTGAGGCCTTTGGATTTCTGAAATTTCCAAATAGCTGAAGATATACATTTCTCTTTTTCAATGACCCAAATGCTCAATTTCAACTCTTTGCAATGGAAATCTCTCCAAGATACTTCATCTATTAATATTTCCTGCCATCTTCCACACAGTAAGCCACATATGATTTAACCTTTAAAAGTGTGGTCATTTCAGTTGTTTCCAGCCCATGGAGGACACGCAAAGGCAACAGCTGCATTTGTGTAAGAACCAAGGTTCTGAATCAGAGGCTAGTGGGAAACTAAGCATGAACTCAAACGCGAAGGCTGTAAGGCACCGACAAAGGCTGATACGTGGCTTTTACGGCCAGAACCAACTGTCCTGGTTCTCTGGGAAGGGCCAGGCTGCCAGATGACTCAATCCTGGAGCAAAAGCTCGCTCTGCAGTCTCTGTCCTTCTCTTCTTCCTCTCCGCTCCCCTCCCACTTTCCTCTTTCTTCCCTCCAAAGACTCCTCTGACCACCAAAGCCACCCTCTACGCGGCTGTCCTGCTTGGTCCTTGGTCCCTGCCCTGCACCATTTGCCCACTCCCTGGACGGCTGTCTCCCAGGCAGACCGCCAGCTGACGGCGCATTCCGAATCGGCGCAAGCGTGCTCTCCCACCCCCTTCTGGGGTCCCTGGTGCTGGACCCCTCCAAGTTCTGGTGGCCCATCCCCTACAACCATGTGCGTTTTCACTGGTTCATGCTCTGTGAATTGTCCCTCTGATTGTCCCCAGCTAGATGTGAGTCCCCTTGGGCAGGAACCAGCTTGAAGGCCTAATCTAAGCTGCCCTTCCTCCAGGACCCCCACTCAGACACTCCCCACACCCTCTCTCTTCCAGTGCTCCCCGAGACCACACTCCATACGCTGCTTGTCTAAGGCTGTTTCTCCTTTATGTCTGGGAAGTTTTCTCTCCAGCTGGATGGGATGCTCCCTAGGGACAGGGGAATTTGTCGTCCCCTGTGCTCCTGTCCACCCCACCCCAATCCCCCAGCACATGCCTTCCCTCCTTCTCCCATCCCCACTCTTCAGGGCCACCCTCTCCACTCCACGCTATGCTGACACTTGCCTTGAACTTGGGACTCTCGCTCCAAGTTCAAGTTCTGCAAGCTGCTTTATGTGAATGCTATGTCTGTTGTCTTTAAAAAGACAAGGAGTCTTTGAGGGCAAGGCCAGTAGGCTCAGTCCCATTAGTATGGTCAGTGCTGAGCCCCATAGGGACAGCTTGCCCAGCCCCAGCCCAGCCCAGCCCCCTGCCCCTCACCCCTCAACAGGGAGACTATGAGTTGTCTCACTCCAGCTGCCCCTGAGCCCTCACTGCATTCCCTCATTCACAGGTTACAGAGCATCAGGTGGCATAACCAGCAGGACTCTGGAGATCAATCTGCTCCAACCCAGCCTTCTGAGAAATGGTGGAATGGAGGTCCAGAGATAGACATTGACTCCCCCTGACCACAAAGCAGTTGCTGGCAGAGCCAGGAATGAAGCCAACCTTAAGAGTAACCTTGGCACGTCTGTGGGGCAGACTGCCTCTGGGGATCCGGGCATCTGCTGGCAGTCAGGTTCAGCTCAAAGACAAGGAGCTGGAAGGAGGATCCTCCCCAGCAACCAGTGTGCCCTGGTATATCAATGGCATTAGACAGGGGCAAGTGACCGTAATGTGAAGAGGCCAACCGCTGGCATGGGGGTGGGGGGCTAGAGGAACGCAGCGTCCTTTCTCATCCATGCCTCATGTGGACATGGCTGTGGTCTGGCTCCAGCCCACCCTCAGCCTGTCTCACCCCCGTCCCCAGGCTCATCTCATCCTTTGCAACACCCATGCCATTGCTCCTGCTGTTTTCCCGCCTGGAAGGCCCATCTCCCCATCTCTATGTGCTCAACATCTTATCCTTCACGGACCCCCTGGAAGCCTTCCCCAAGTACCCCACCCCCAGCACCATGAGCACACCCTAGTATGCAGCATGGCTTTGTAGGTATCTGGGCTCACATCTCGGCCCTCCCCATGCCCTGCTCCCCAGGGTGGCTCATTCTGTGCATGGCAGTCAGGGGGCATGGGGACAACAGTGGGACGTCCCCCAGCCTGGAGACTGCAGGGGCGACTGGCCACACAGCGTCTGGTCTAGGGAGCAAGGCATGGTGGTGGAGGACTGAAGCTACTCAGAGATGGAGAGAAGATATGAAAAGGAGTTCAGAAGTAGATACACGTGCTCGTGCGAAGTGTGAGGTGGGGGGCAGGGCCGGAGCAGACGGAGGGCCTGGGTTTGAAGCCGGTGGCAGGGGCTATCATGGGTGTTGGTCAGAGCAGTGTGTGTGTGTGTGTGTGTGTGTGTGTGTGTGTGTGTAGCAGGTTTAGAGACACCTGGGCCCACAGACCAGAGTGCTCCAGGGCACTCACTATAGGGTGAGGCTGGGCCAGCCTGAAGGCAGTGGAGTGAGAAAAATCGTAGGGCCTGTGGATACAGCTTTGTTCTGGACCTGGGGCAGGCAACACTGGGACTCCTGGGCCCCACCCCTTGCAGTTCTGATCTGACTCATGTGGTGCTGGAAGGCTTGGGCTGGCTGGAAGGAGAGCAACAGCAGGGCAGGCTCCAGGGCCACAGCCCAGTGAGGGGACCCTCTGGTAGAGGCAGGGCTGATGGATGACCCCTCACTCCCACTTCACCGATGGTGAGCCCAGATGTCACTTAGGCATGGGCGAGTGGCCCCACTATGAAGGACACCGAGGCCTAGAGGGGAGGAGTTGGCTGGAAGTCAGACCCAGATGAGTTTCTTCCAGGCCCAGGCTCTCAGCCGTCCGGGCTCTAGTGCCTGTTTGGGGCCTGTCTGACCAAAGAAATGTGGACCAGCAAACTCCTGGGGTCCTTCCCAGGACTCACCTATATCCCACAGCTCTGGGACAGTCTGCTGCAGGGGCTCTGGGTGAGCCACTTGGAGACCAGTGGAAGCCCCTGGCCATGTGGGCTACTGGGACAGATGTGGTGGCTTCACTGGCAGGGTGACCCTTTTCATGGGGGTGGGGAGGACAGGACCTTGTCAGTGTTCCTTCCCCGTCAAACTGAGCTCTCTTGGGCCCACAGAATCCCTGAGGGTGGGCTGTTTATCCAGCTCCTCTAGGTCACTAGGCTCTGGGATGGGAACACACTGGAGGGTCTGTGAGCCCCAGCCTCCCGGGGCCCATGGCCTTGCCTGGCCCACCCAGTGTGGCTTCTCAGGACCTTCTTCCATTAGGCCTGCACTCAAGCACTCCCATCCCCTCACCCACCTGTGGACTCCTGCCCCGGGAGCTCTACCTGTCCCTCCTGGTCACCCAGAGGACACAACGTCTGTCCATCATGAACTGGCCTCCCTGCTCCCCCCACACTCAGCCATGAACATTCCTACTTCTTTCCTTCCTCTCCACCGGGGGTGGGGGGGCTCTTGGACCCCAAATCATCCAGGGCTCCACCTTCCTAACCTCCCACCAATGGGGTTGGCAGAGCTGCCCACGAGACACCTCTGTGCTTGGATTGGAGAGCGCCACATCTCACAATCCTGCCATCTTCGCTCACCCTCAACACAGCACACAGACATGGTCATCTTTCCAACAAAACACCCAGCCAAAGGCCCAGGAGAGCAGCCTCTTTGGGGAGAGAAAGGGGGCAGGGAGGGGCCTGGGAGCCCGGCTCGCAGACTCACCTTCTCTCTGTTGCTGTGGGATCATTGGAGGTGGCTGAGGAAAGGCCTGGCTTATCTGACCATAGGCAGCAGGGTAGGCGGCTGCTGGAGGGCCAAAGAGAAGAGGCAAGAGCGAGGGACGATGACAGTGACACGGAGAGAGACAGGGCGAGAGGCAGGAAGAAAGAGAAATTTCAGTGTCGAGCAGTAAAAGCAGACCAGGCAACAAGTGCATTCAGCTCAGCCACTTAAGATAAAGCCAGCTATCAGTAGTAATGGAGAAGCGGCACAGTGAAGAGTAGAAGCGTGCGTGTACGTGTACGTGTACGTGTACGGGTGTGTGTGTGTGTGTGTGTGTGTGTGTTGCCCAGGCCAGAGGAGACAGCGAGGGAGAGAAGCATCACTTACAGCTTGCCTTGGGCTTTACAGTGGTGGATTCCCTTCCCATTCACTGACCCAAGGCCATCTGCTCACCCCAAGGCTGCCTCTCCTCACCCCTTTTTCCTACCTCTGGCTGCCTATCCTCCCTTGTTCCCTGTCATCCTTGTTCATTTCCCACTCCTGCTGCTTGTGTATGCGGAGGTGGGGTGGCGAGAGGTTGAAACCGCTTTCCTTCCAGGGCCTCTCCTTCCTTCAAACCCAGGCATATATGCTTCCTGGGCCAGTGATTGTGGGCTGCAGTGGGCAGCACCCCAGCTCCGACCTCATCCCCAGGGCTGCTGTGTAGCTTGGTGCTCCTGGACAAACTGGCCCTGGCAGCCCCATGGGGAAGGGACACCTGGCCTCAAAGCTGCGTCACTGCACAGCAAGGTCAAAGCTTCAGCCTGGCTCGTGAAGTTGTCAGAAGCTCTGACCACCCACCACTGCAAGGGTACCCATGACACGACGGGCAAGCTCTGCCTCCATGCTGGGGGGCCTGCAGAGGGGGAGGCAGCCTGGAGTCGGGGTCTCTGGCGGTATCATAGCCCTCCCACCTTCTACCGAAGGTCCCCCTACTCCCCTCCTCTCCCCCCTCCCACACAGCGCGGAGCCCAGGCCTGGGGTGGGGAGAGGCACTGGTGCCTAGGCAGGAGTGGGGAGATGACCAAAGCTGGGGGAGAGCCCTGGGGACGCGCGGATACTAACGACCTGCATACTGCTGCACTCCAGCGTAGGCCTGCTGCAGGGGGTCCGCGGCGGTGGGGCTCTGCGCTGCAGGGGAGCCAAGGGGGCAGAGGTCAGTGAGGCCCCCCGGAACCAGCCCCTTCCCTACCAGGCCCGTGGAGACGACACTGTGGCTGCATCACCCTTCCCAGCCACTGTGTCTGCCTCGGGGCAGGTCATCTGAGACAGGAACCCTGAATGCCTGGACCCTGTTAGGGTTCTGTCTTCCCCAGTCCAGGGCCCTTAATAGGGTGAAGGTTGCCCACCCTGGCTGGGGGATGCAAGCTGCAGGAGCCGGTGGTGGGGTGAGATGGGTGGTTCACAGAGAAGGCTGGGAAGGACTGGGAAGGAGATGCCAGAGGAGGCTCGGCCATGAGTGGCTTTGTGGGGACACATAAGGGACCTGGCCCGAGAGAAGAGCTGTGGGAAAGTGGGGAAGGGGGTGAGGGCTGTTAGCAGGGTAGTCTCATCCTCATTTAACCCCAGCAGAAGTCAGGGGCAGATCCCAGCTGGGTGAAAGAAAGGGCACGGGAGGCCTCACTGGGCCACCCACTCCTGCTCAAACAGAGGGACCCCCTCCTTTGTTCTTAGGGAGTTTGCATAAGACATGGGGCTTCCATTCGTAGGCCATGGCCAAGTCACCCTCAGCAGGGACAGGCCACACAAATGAGGTCTGCCCCATGGGCTGGGAGAGGAGTGATGCCCACAGAAATGGAAGAACCAGCAGATCAGGGGCCTTCCTCCCACTCGAATTTGTGAGTCTGGGATGTCTACTGCCCAGCACAAGGAGAGGACCCTTGTGCTGCTACCTTGGCAAGCAACTTGGGGCAGCTGGTTCACTTGTTGCCTCTGCTGTGTCTACAGAAGCGGTGGGCAAAAGCCTGGTGCATGGGCCAACGGTGGGTACTGCCTTTGGTGACCACGGCTGGTGATAGCTGTTGTGGGAGTGGGCTTACCTTGGAGGGCCAGGGAGGTGGGTGGGGACAGATCCAGCTGTACTACACTTAGGGCAAACTGTAATAATATAGGGAGGCGGAAAGAAAACCATCTGGGCTTTTCTGCCTGGCGACCTAGGCCAGTCAAGCTAATTGGCAGTGCCAGACTTTGGAGCCTGTAAACCAGAAAGAATTCCCAAACTGCCCTTTTGAGCTCTTGTTTCTGAACCTCAGTAACATCCCACTAGAACAATAGCACTTGAGCCTCAGGGTAACCAAGGGAAATCCTGGGGCAGAGATCCTTAGAGACAGTACAGGTGGCAGCAGGCCCAGGGCACTGCCCAGAAGGGGAGCTGAAGATGGGTCAGCACGGAGGCCCTTTCCTGACCCTATCCTATCCCTACCCCTCTATTTCCCTCAGTGGAGACTGGAGCCAGGAGCTCCCAGGACTGGGGGCGTAGTGGTGTTTGGTGCGCTGGGTCTCCTCCCTCCTGTGGCTCCCTTTGCCTGACCCCTGTACCAGCCTCAGCTCACTGGAGGGAGAGTCACATCCAGCTTGTCCTCTTGGTCTCCCAGGCTGCTCAACCACAGACTGCCTTTATGCAAATTAGAAAAAGGTGTCTCTTCTTCTGGGCACAGCTTGGTGCCTTATGTAAAATAAAAGCTGCACAACCTACGTGACAGCCCCCACCCCCTGCACAGCAGCCGGGATCACCGCAAGTGCTCAGCAAATACTGTAACGTAGGGAATGAACGAAGGGTCCTTAACAGTCATGACAGCCACCCCTTCAAGGGGGTGATGTGGTCATAATGGCCACACTGTGTGCTTCCAACACGATTTCGATGAGCAAGAGGAGAAAACAGAGAAGCTACCTGGGGCTAAGAAGTGGAGGAAAGCATTTCTGAGACCCCTTTCTACTCTGCTTAATGACCTCATTAGTAACTGCCAAAGAGTGAACATTTTGAAGGATCTCGCTCATTACAGCAGCTCCAAACTCTGCATTTAAAAATGGTAAATTAATTTTTTTAATGTACTACTTCTCTCCTTTCCTTCCTTCCATCCCTCCCTCCTGTTCTGGCAGGGAATTGTTTATGGGATGTGGCAGATTGTTACAAATGGGGCAGAGAAACAGCTCCAAATTCCACAAGGAAAATGGCTCACAGATGCTTCTGGGGGTGGGGAGGGAACAGGTTTGTCAAAATCCAGAGCTCCAGATGGGCTTGTGGGCATGGAGGAGGGGGAAATGAAACCACCCAGATGTGCTGGGGACTGTATCTCCCAGCCCATGATCCTGAGGCAAGAGGAACCCTGGAACCTGAGATTGGTGGGCTCTCTCCCACCTCCAGCTCGCCAAGCCCCTGCCCTGCCTCCCTTGCCAGCGAGGAGTCTTCACCCTGAAACAACACTCCAGCCTCTCTGGACCCTGCTGCTTCCTTCTCTAGGCTTCTCTCATCTCTTCCCTATGCTCGGAGGGATGAGTTGAGGGGCAAGCACTGGAACAAGATCAAGGACAACGCCAAGTTCAAAGTCAGTTCAAAATTCTCCTGTTTTTCTCTAGCACAGTGACCTTGCACTCTGCTGCTGCTGGAACTTTGATATGCTCTGGATATCTGGGCCTCATTCCAGACACTGAAATAAGAATTTCTGGGCTTCTGTGGTTTTACATAGCCACCCAATGGATTCTGATGGACAAACCGAGTGGGAAGCACTACTCTGCCCCCCACTGCTGAGTGACACCAGGCTGGCCTCTTCTGTCCTGGTTGGATCAGCCTCCTCACCATGCCCTGCCCCTGCCAGGCAGGCCCTCTCCTGCCTCTGGGCCTCTAGGACAGCAACTCCACAGGATGTGTTTCTTGTTCATCCTCCCCGCTCCCCAATTCCTACCCATCTGTTAAAGTCCAACCTGAGCCTCCTGTCAGGGCGGCTCTGTTGAGCTTCTTCAGCCTACAGGCCTCTCCCTTCCTCTGAATCCTTTAGCACCTCAAGTTGGAAAACATTCACTCTTGATCAGACTCCATTTTGCTTACTGTTTCATTCCCGGAGATGTATATTGTGTTCCTAGCTGGACTGTGACCTCCCAAGGGATAGATAGGCCCACATCCTGCCCTCCTTCTGGGGCCCCCCTTTCATCCAGCAGAGACTGGGCACTTACTTGTACTAATGGGGTCTCTGTAACCTCATCATCTGACCTCTAGAAAGGAGGACAGCACTCTCTCTCTCTCTGACACATTGCCTCTTGCTAGTTTACTCCGGGGCTTTGGGCCCAGCTTGCCTGCTATCAGTTCATCCTCAAGACCTGAGAAAGGAGCTGCTTCAAGTTAACTGTACAGTCACACCGTGGGAGAATGGCCAAGTTTGAGAGGAACAAAGTTAATCAGGAACGGGCCTCCTGGTTTTCCCGTGTGCCAAAATTCATGCAAGTGGGACCTGGGAGATGTCCGAGGTTCTGATCCTCTGTCTCAAATGCCGACCAGGGGTTTGAGTGCACCAATGGATCGAAATGGTATGTCCTGGCCAGAATGTCAAGCTACATATCTCCCTTTTCTTCCCCAAAGAGTCGTTTCCTACTTAACACTAAATATAGTTATTCTATAAGTTTCTATCCCTTTCCTTATGATGGGTCGAATTCACTCTCAATTAATTTGCAGTGACTAGCCTTTCTACCTGGTTGTACAATTACATCTATTCGCTTTTCTCACCTGAAGAAGCCCCAGGAATGTGGTTCTTTCTCAACTTTCAAACTGACATGTCCCCAAGGATGGGAATTTGGTCTCTCCCACCTAAAGGAGGCAGGTTCTCCCTGATCACATTTGGGGGTCTACCAAAGAACGGACAGAGGGCAGGAGCCACACATTCCCTGTTATAACAGCAAGGGTAAGGGAAGGAGTGGATAAAGAGTGTGCTGTGTGCATACGGAAGAGCTGCCAAATGTGCTTACCTGGGTAGGGATGGATGCCATTGGCAAACACAGCTTCCGCAGCAGGTTGCCCATTGGCCTGTGGGGGGAGGCCAGTGAAGCCATTCACCCCAATGGGGGATGGGATGCTAGGCACAGCTGGTGCAGTGATGCCCGGAGGGGTGCTGCCACCTGGTTCCAGAGGTGGAGAGGGGTGGAGGAAGAGAGGAGGCAAGCAGAACAAAGGTGAGGAAGGCCAACCCATGGAGGTCCACCTCCTGGCGCCAAGGGCCTGGGAATAGACTTGGACCTCACACACCAGCTCAATCCTATCTGTGAATCCTCCCTTGGACCATTTCCCTGCAAGAAGTGATTCCATTCATCTCAACTGTATCCATCCTTCAGGACAGGACGTCCAAACCCCACCTACCCCGTGAAGACTTCCCTGACCACTGACCACTTGGCCTTGGAACTGCAGCACATGGATGCTCTCAGTACTCTTCACTACTTGGTCTTCCTTTAGACTTTTTCAGTGGTTCTTGCTCATCCCAGCTCAGTCAGGATGGGCTGGTCCTTGTTTAGCCACCAAGGGGTTTCTGAGTTGCTGACTGCTCTCATCTAGATCACTGAGGGGCTGATCTGCCTTCCCAGAAAGGAATTTTGCTACTTGGCTCGAAAAGGTCTTAATTCTGGAGTTCCCCTGCAATGAGGGAATGAGGACTTTGCAGAATCCAGACTCAGCCATATCCATACACAGAGTAGGCACCTTGGCCTCCTCTAGTTGAGGTGATGGTGATGCTCATTGTGGCAAGGGTAAAGATGGAGTCAGATGACAACACCCTGTGCCCTCTCTGTGCCTTGTGGGTGGAACCCAAGGTGTAACTGGCATGGTGATTGTACTGAGGCCCCAGAAGCTGGAAAGGGCCTTCTTCTTCATGTAAGAAACAAAGTCTCTTGGTGGACGAGGAACTGAGGCTGGCCTGGGCTTAGAAGTATCCCTAACTTGGGGATCAGAGCTGTGGAATAATTCTCCAACTGGGTCTAGAGATGGCACGGTCTTTTATGACTTTTATCTGGGAAAGGAATAGCTCCTGGGTATCAGGAAGGCTGCTGCTATGACCTGGGTGCAGAGAGCCAAGGAAGCTTGGTGAATGAGAGCGTGGGTGTTAGGTAAGCCCTTGGGACTAGAAAAGGTTTTTCTCAACTTCTTTGACACTATTGATACTTGTTCACAGACATTTCCTTGTCATGCTTTGTTGGATGTTTAACAGCATCCGCAGCCTCTGACTACTAGATTACAGTAGCATCCCCCTCCCCAAGTTGTGACAACCAAAAATGTCTCAGGACATTGCCAGATATTGGGGGGCGGGGAGGACACCAAATTGCCCTAGTTGGGAATCACTGAACTTGACAATAACCAAGATCCAATTAAAAGCATGCTTTGTGAGCAAGGCTGTTTTCAGCCCCCCTGCCCTTTAATAACTCTGTGGTTCTCTCTTGCTTGTTATGTAGTTGTCTTGGAAAAAGCCAGTGATTCTATGTTGGGTTAAAGGGAAATCAAAAATGGCCTTCTTCTATGCTTGGGCCAGGCACCAAACAAGGCCACAAAATGGGCAGGACTCTTCTCCCCTCAGACCTCAATCGGAGATGCATTCATGTCAATTTCTTTCCAAAACAACTCAAGTGACATTCCCACCACCCCGAAATCATATCTTGAACTGCATGAGACTCACATCCCATCTTTCTTTGGATCACCAAGGATTAGAACATTTTTGAGATAAACTGCCAGAGGATGAGGTATGCCTAGGGCCAGATGCCATGAGCTCTTGCCACGGAATGGTCCATTTGTAGCCAAAATTGGCCAAACAGAAGGTCCAGGCCTGGATCCAGCTCCTCTCCTGCTGGGTCGGGCCCTGTGTTGGTACCTGCTGGCTCACCTGAGGTTGGGGTCATGGGCGCGGCCGCCAAGCCATTCATGTTGAGGGCCGCCATCTGCTGCATCTGGGCGGCGGCGAAGGCAGCCATGGGGTTCAGGTAGCCACCCTGCGCGACTGATGCCATTAGTGCCGCTTGCTGCTGCATCAGCTGGGGCAGAGTGAGTGGAAAAAATATCATGCGCTTCCAGGGGGGCAGCCCTCCCCACCAGGGGGCTCAGCTCCTGGACACCAGCCTCCCAGGCCCTGAAACCCAGGGCGCTCCCCACCCTGACCTCTAAAGAACCCCATTCCTGTCCTCAGTGGCTACTAGAAACCACTTCTTAAGAGGTAACTATTCAAAAGTAATGGTAGACTCTTGGGGACTCTAAGGTACTGTAAAGAGTAGGGGAAGGGCACTGGCTCCATGGTTGCTTATTAGCCTTGTGATGGCCTGTCATTCATGGAGAGGTGACACCCAAAGTTCTAGAGACATGCTGTATGAGCCTCTGTAGAATTAGCTTAGCATGGATTTCTGTCCAAATGTTCTAACAAAGGTGAGTGGGAAGTGGGACATTTGTTTAAACTGGTAAAACTTGGGCACTGCTGAAGGAGTTGAAGTGAGCCTGCATTTTTAGAACCAAAACACTGGTCTACCTCAGGGCCACCCATGGTGGGAGGGGGGCAGGGGAGTTGGCTACAAGTCTGGGAGACAGCTTAGTGGAGATGCTGGCAAAGCAGGCCCCACTGTGAAAGAAAGAAGTTGGTGGGCCAGAAGCCTGAGGTGAGGCCTGGGAGGGACTGCAGGGGATGCATGGGTGTGATGGGCTTTGGGGATCCTCACAGGACCTCTGCCAGGAGTAAGCAGAGGCCTGAGGGCACCCATTCATGAGTGGGAACCAGGTTAGGGTGGTGGCAACCAAACACCTGAACCTGTCCCCTCTTACAATTGGTGCGTCCTAGGATTTGACTAGCATGAGGTCATTCAGGTAACCCACCTTGCAGCCCTCCTGCTTCTCCCCTTAAGAACCAGGATAGTAACCCACCTCCCCCTGGCAGCCACCCTGGATTGGACCAGCCTTCTTTCAACCCCCTCTGGCCTCCACTTACTGGTTTCATTCCTGACCACTCCTCACTCCCCAGGACTAGACCAGTATTTTCTGGGCCAGGAACAGAGCTCCCCCTTAGCGAAGTTAGGTGTCCCTGCCATGGGGCTCTAAGCAGAGTTAGCTGGGGAACCGCTGCCCCCCACTCACACCAGCGTCTGGACCCCCACTTACTGCTTGTGCGTAGGCGCCATAGGCCCCGAACGGGATGGCCATGGGGTTGAACATGCCCATCTGGCCAGCCATCTGCTGCATTCGCCGCATCGTGCGCTCCTTGTCGGTGTCGGCAAACTTGACCACCAGACTGGATGAGGCTCCCTGCAGCCGGGACTGCGCGTGAGGCCCACCTGCCCTAGGCACCTCCACTCCCAGCTGTCCAGCTGTCTGCACCCCTGGCCTAGGCCCACCCTCTCCTCTCCGCGGGGTGCTACTGGGAGGTGGGGGGGGGGACCGACACCGCTGCTAGCCCAGGAGTTTGGGGACTTAACTCGACCGCGGGAGTTTTCTATCTGGGTGACCGCGGGCCAGTTCCTTAACATCTCTGGGCCTCAGTGTCCTTGTCTGAGAAATGGGGATAATGGTAACGCCTTCCTGTTTCATGAGAAGCTGTGATACGGCACGCGTTTTACACTGCATGGACACGGCGCAAGGGCGGGCGGGGGCCCTGATGGTGAGCTGGGTTGGGCAGGAATGTCGGCTGTCCCCGTCCCCGCCCCATGCGGGGGTGGCCGCACTTACCGGCATGGTCTGGCTGCCGTGCAGCGCGTTGATGGCGGCTTGCGCCTCGGCATGGGAGGAGTACTTCACAAAGGCGCACCCTGGGTGGACAGGAGAGGCTGAGCCAGGGCCGGGGAGGCCAGAGGGAGGCCAGGGAAGCCCCAGGACTGAGAGGCGGGGCACGGGCGGGGCCGAGGGGACAGGGCGCATCCCAGAAGAAAGTAGAACGGGTGAGACACGAAGACCGAGAGAAAAAAGAGAGACACCGAGAGACAGAGAAAGACCTGGACGGGCCGGAGACTCAAAAGTACCCTTAAGTCTCCTCGTCCCTTTCTGGACTTGGATTGCGACCTTTCCTTACTCCCGGACCCGACCGCCTCGTCCCTTCCAAACATCCCTTCGCGGCTTGCGCGTCCCGGCCAGCTCCGGGTGGCTCTGGGCTCCGCCACCAAGCAAACGCGAGCCTGCGGCTCCCCCTCCCCCGCCCACTGCCCGCCCCGCCCCCACTCTCACCCTTGCTGTTGCCGTCCGGCCCGCGCAGGATGGTGCACTCCTCTATGTTCCCGAAGGCCTCGAAGAGGCGGCGCACGTCGTCCTCAGACTGCTGCTTGTTGAGCATGCCCACGAAGAGTTTTCTATCTTCTGGAACAAAATTAGGAGATGCTTACCCGGGCCGCGGGCCGGGCGGCGCGGGGGCGGGCCCGCGGGGAACAGGACACGGCCGGAAGAGAAGGGTATGCGGGAGAGGGAGAAGCTGGGCAGAAGCCAGGCGGGGGGCTCAGAGCCGGAGCGGGAGGTGGGTAGGAGGGAGAGGGCGGGGCGGGCGTGGGCGTAGCTAGACCGGGAGGGTCATTGGAGTGGAGGGGCTGGGGGTAGAGGGAGGTTATCGTCAGAGGTGGAGATGAGGGAGCAGGGTTTGGATTGCAGCGACTCGACCCCCTCCTACCTAAAGGGCAGGCGGCACAGTGAGGGAGCAAGGCCAGGCTCTGGCCGCTCACCTAGGGCACACAGGTCATTCATGCAGCCCTGTGATCCCTCTTCCTTCCTCTTAGGCACAGACTATATTCCTCAGCCACCTTCACTCACAGATGCCAAAATTAACTCCCAACAGGCAAGTCTGCCACAGGGCCTTTGCATATGCTGTTCCCTCTGCCTGGCGTGCCCTCCACATCATAAGGCTGATTCTTCTAGGTCTCAGTTTAAATATCGCTTCCTCAGCAAGTCTCCTCCTTCCACCTCTCCTTTATTGTCTGTCAGTCCCTCACTCTCAGGGCCTGAATTTCAAAGGACAATTGTTACTGCTTTGCCTGTGTAATTTGTTTCTGTCTAGCTCCCTGCCATCACCCTCACCCACCCTCCATGTATTCTATACTTCCTGGGGAAGAGACCAGACATCTGTTGGAACAACAGTACCTGGCACATAGTAGGCCTCAGGACAGTAGGCTCTCATTCATTATAAAATGAATGAATGCTCTTTGCCATTCCCAGGGACACATCTCCTTTCTGTGGCACATGTTTCTATCTCCATCTGGTGCCCCCTCCTTGCTCTGGGTCTTCCAATTTGTTCATGCTACAAAACTCAGCCCTGGGCACTTTGGGGGAGCCTGCTTCTGAAGACTGGGCTTGCTCAGCAGTTGTCCCCACACTTGTATGAGTACCAAGTGGTTTGTTGACATAACTCAGCTGTGTTCTTAGGGTGACAAAGATCACATTGGGCTGTGTCTTTCTGTACTAACTTATGACTTCAAAAAAGATTTCCTGGGCCGGCCAAGTGGTGCATTGGTTAAGAGCTGGCTTGGGACGCCAGAGGGCCCCGGTTCGGATCCCACATATGAGGACCAGTGACACTGCCCT